AGCTGGGGGGGCTCACAGGGACCCATGCCCATCTGCAGCTAAGGGGGGACTCAGGGGGACCCATGCCCATCAGCAGCTAAGGGGGGACTCACAGGGACCCATGCCCATCAGCAGCTAAGGGGGGACTCACGGGGACCCATGCCCATCAGCAGCTAAGGAGGGACTCGGGGGACCCATGCCCATCAGCAGCTAAGGGGGGACTCAGAGGGACCCATGCCCATCAGCAGCTAAGGGGGGACTCGGGGGACCCATGCCCATCAGCAGCTAAGGGGGGGACTCAGAAGGATCCATGCCCATCAGCAGCTAAGGGGGGACTCATGGGGACCCATGCCTTGCTAAAGGTCTGGGTTGTTTTTAAGGACTGATTCAGGGAAAGGGGAGTCCCTGTTTTCACTTGTGTGTCCACTGGTGCCCCCACCAGACTCCAACGAGTAGATGCAATCCAATGCTCATTCATCAGGTCTGGCTAAGTTAAACGGGCCACAAAACCAAACCAAACATTCCATGAATCTGGAAAGCGGACTGGTAGGGAAGTGGGGGGTTAGAAGGGATGAGGAAGTTAGTAGGGATGGGAGGGGGATATGGGAAGGCGAGGGAAAGCGTAATCAGAATACATTATATACATGCAACAGAACAAAACCAATAAAATGCATCTTCATGCTATATTTGCTCATGAGAGTCCACTGCTCTCAGGATAAATTCATCTTAACCCAGTTTAAATCTCCGGGGTCTTCTCTGGGTGTGCCTCCACTCTGTCACACCAACATGCAACCTACAAACTTAAGTTTTCCACATACACTGAACCGTCAATGCCAAGCTGCACTCCCGCGCTTTAGATAGTCGCCAGGAAGCCTGCTCGAGTTCCGTAAGCCTTTAATGGGTACCCTCACTGAGACCTCCGCAGTGAAGGGGTTTCCTCGCGGTTGGCATGGGCTCACCTCTTTCCTCGGAAGCCAAAGCAACACTTGGAGCTGTCAACGCCGAGCCGCCCAATAAATCAGCTGACTTCTTGCTTGTTTTTACAGCCAACAGATTCTCTCCTGCAGATTCGCTATCCTCGGTTCCCCTTTCCTCCAGCCCCAGGGAAAACTCCGATCCAAAATACCTTTGCTTCATTCCTCTTTAAGTTAGTCATTATAAAAGTTGGAGGAGTGTTACTATTTTTACACTCTATTTTAGAGTCGGAACCACACCGCTGTGGTGACGAAAGGGCAGGTGACAAAACACGCACTGGGTCCGGGCCGACAGGATCCGGAATGGCGTACAGAGGGCGAAGGTGTGTGCGCGCAGGCGCGCTCTTCTTAACGCGCAGGCGCCGCGCGCGGCAGGCGAGCGGTGATTGGCGGGCTGGGGCTCCGCGGGGAGGCGCGGTGTCTGATTTTGGGCGGGAATGGAAACGGCCACGGCCGCTGTCCCGCTGCAGGACTCTGCCGCTCTCAGCCGAGGAAGGGCACCATGGTGCGCCCTGCCAGGTGCGTGGCTGGTGACGCCCCGCGGGGCGGGGAGGCAGCGCTGGGGGACGCCGGAGGCCGGTGCCCTGCGGGGTGGAGGGAGGGGGCCGGGTCTGGCCGGGGGCGGCGGGGCGGCGGCAGGGGGATGATCGTCCCGGACTCCGGGGAGAGCCAGCCGCTGCTCTGCTCGGGGTGGCCGGCCTGGCGCCCCGCCTTCCTTCCGCCTCGGGCTTCCCGTCTCGCAGCGGGCGACCACGGACGTGGCCTCCCCGTGTTCAGCACCGCAGCCCCGCGGTGCAGAGAAAGCAGACGGGCCCATTGTACGGCCCTCGGCCCCCTAGGCAGAAAGGCCCATTTAACCCGAACCGTCCAGCTTGGGAGTGAGTAGGGACCGGTCACGCGCCTCCGGTCCCTCTCGGCTGCCCACTGCGCAGCTGCGATCCGGGATCGCAGCCGGGATGCTAGGCCATCCGTCCGTTTCGTGGACGTACTGAGCAGAGCTGAGGCTGTGGCCCAGTGGCGGAGTAATTGCCTAGGACGTGAGGGGCTCCGGGTTCGATCCCCAGCGCTGCACAACCAAACGAAAATAAGCTTACTGAATTCACTTAGTCCTGTACTGTAGGGAGCTGGAGGTTACACTCTAGTGGAAGATGGGGTGGGGGTGGGGTGGGGCAAAATAAACACCACAGTGGAACATAGTAGGAAGGAGGAAAGCCTCGCTTTAAATAGAGTGAGAGGGTCACCTAGGCAAAATGCAAGAGGCATTCTCAGTAGATGACATAGAAGCCGAGGCCCCGAGCTTGACCATGTTTGAGAGACACATTGAAGATGTGGTAGTCACGAGCACGGAGGGGAATTGTCGAGGATTAAGTCAGATAAGGAGTTAGATGCCAAAGTAGGGAGGGCTTCGCAGGCCTTAGAAAGGAGTTCGGATTTTATTCTAGGCCAGTGGGAAGTCAGTCGTTTGGGTGGAGGCGGGAGGGGGTTGTTGTGATTTTACTTTATAAAGGTCACTGGCTGTTGGTAGTCCCTGAGTGGGAGCAGGAGTGGCCGGATTGTGATTTGGCACGGTGTGTGGATGTGGGGGTCGAGCAGGTGAGCTTAGGTACTTCTGACAAGCGGGTGTGGAGGTGAGGAAACAAGGGAAGACTCAAGGTGGACAACGTATGGACTGAGCTCATAGTGGATGGTCTTTGTATTGGCTGAGATAGGGAAGTCTAAGATAATGAGGTTTAGAAGGCAGGACTGGATTTCTGTTTCTGACATGGTAAAGTTGAAAGGGGATAGGCATGCAGATAGTGAAGACATAAATGCTGCTATCTGGCATAGTAGTAGTCAGATCTGCAGGCCTCTAGGGTCCCCGGAATCTCAGGCCTGTGAGATTTTGACTATGGTCTGTGTGTCTGTTATTATTTTGTGTATATAACAGGGATGGGGATGGTGGTCCACATTCCATGTCTTGAATGTGGAGGTCAGTGGGTAACTTGGAGTCACTTCTCTCTTTCCACCTTTTCCTAGATCCAGGGGTCAAAGTTAGGTCATCTGAACTGCACAGCAGTGAACGTTAGCAGCCGGGTACCACTAGATTGTCAATTTTATTGTAGTAAAACCAAAGCATGGGTTGTCAGCGCTCTTGGGTCCTTTGCACTGCGATGACCATAGGACTGTTGGCACCTCGACACACACTGTGGCAGTGACGTCACACTGGGGTGGTAGCAGTTATTGTAGTTTCCATTGCCACAAACTCAGATTTTTTAAAAAGAGAAGCGTTCATGGGCTGGAGAGATGGCTCATTAGTTAAAAGAGTGCTTGCTGCCCTTCCAGAGGACTTGGATTCAGTTCCCAGCACCCACTTCAGACAGTTCACAGCTCTTCCAGCTCCAGGGGATTCAGTGCCCTCTTCTGGCCTTCACAGACATTGTACTCATATGAATATACCTGCACACAGGCACACATATACACATAATTAAAAATCATTTTTAAAAGTAATAGTTTTCCGCATAACTCTCACCCTACTGAGTTTCCAGAATACAATAGGTAGTTTGTGTTTCGTGAATTAATAAGAATTGATGTGTGTGTTATAACTCAACCTGAGTGTACTTAACTCTTTCTGAGGCTTTTGGTTTGATTTACTAATTTTCTGTCCCAGAGTTTTTAAAGATGCTGGCATAGTTCATGCAGCTGTCAAACTCTTCAGCTCTGGAGAGTGAGAGAGCGACATGGACACCATCCCTTCTATGAGTGTGAGGCCGTGAGGTTCTCCAAAGGAGACACCTGTGAGTGTGAAGTAGGAGCTGGACAAGCCTCTTTCTCAGAACTCCATTTCTGCCTGAAAGAGCGGGCAACTGATAAACACGCTTGTCTACACAGGGCGTTCAGTAGACAACAGAAGGGAAACCAGACAACTTGACACTTCTTTCCGCCTACTTTAGTTCTCACAAAGACGATAGGGACAAACTATTTTAAAGTGTCCATCCCATTAAAAAACATTGTTTTGTATTAGAGAGAGATTTCTTTTAAATATTTGTTTTATTTTTAGGTGTGTGTGTCTGTGTGGGTATGTATATGTGAGTGCAAATGCCTAAGGAAGCCAGAGGGTTTTTACTCCTAGAGCTGGAGTTACAGGTGGTTGTGGGCTGCCTGGCGTGGGTGCTGGAAATCAGATTGAGATCCTCTGAGGGAGCTGTATATACCCTTAACCACTATGACTCTACCTCTGAGGGATTTTTTAAAATATGGGTAAAACTGGAGAGATAATTTATAATGTAAGCAAAGAATGAGCACAGAGGAATGTATGAATGTGCAGTAGCCACTCAACAGAATATAAGTTCTAATTGAAAATTATTTGTGTTCTCCTCATGTTGAGGGTTTCCTGCATTAATTTTTTTCCACATCATGTGTATTAGATATGGTTTTGACTTTTCAGCTAATGCCAAGTTCTTGTGTTAAATACAAATAATATTTTGGATTGAAGTACTTTTAAGAGACCCTAACCACATTATCCTTCTTTTCAAGACTATTCAGAACTCTAAGGTGAAGGTAAAAAATTAATATTTGTATTAATGAAAATTTTGTCTTGATCATAGAAATAAAAAACCAGTCAATTACTCACAGTTTGAGGACTCTGGTGGTGACTCTGATGGTAAGTAGAGCTTTTTACTTTTGCTTAACAGATTGAGAAATTTATTTCCTCAGAATTTTCCTCTTTATGTGGTGTGTTTATGTGCTGGGAATCAGTCCCAGGACCTCCTATGTGCTGTATAAATACTCTACCACTGAGCTATAGTCTCATCCTAGAAGTAAGTTATATTTGTAGGCAGGCTTTTCTTTCCCACCCGCCAGTTCCCAAATAATCAACACAGAGACTTACTATTAATTATAGCTGCTCAGCCTATAGCTCAGGCTTGTTACTGGCTAACTCATACAACTTAAATTAACACATTTCTATTAATCTATTCTGCCACATGGCCTTACCTCTCTTTCATCTTGCACCTCCTGTTTCTTCTCTGTGTCTCACTGGCGACTCTTGACTTTGCCCTTCTTCTTCCCAGAGTCTGGTTCTCCCAGGCTAAGCTTATCCTGTTCAGCTATTGACCAGTTAGCTTCTTTATTAAACCAATCACAGCAACATACATTCCTTTATATATTTCCATATAATTATATATATTCCACATATATTTCTTTCCCAGGCTACCATATATTCCTTTAAGTCAAATACTTTAGTAATTTCTCTATCTCTTTTGCATTAAGTGTATCTACAACTTGAGAAAAATAGTCTAGCAGATAGCTTTTAGCTTTCTATTACTGTCAAAGGTATGTGACAAGGTACTTAGAGATTGCCAGTTCCGTTCATGATACTAGATGGGGTAGAATGTGCAGAAAGTTATATTTCTGTATGTGGAAGCATGAAAGAAATATGTTAACAAATTCTATTAAAAAGTATGTGATCCTGCAGGTATACATGCATGTGTCATACATGGGTTTTCTTGAGTATCCTGAGAAGAACCACAGGAGTTTGGAGGGTGTGTAGGACAGAACCTGCTGTGAGAAGCAGCAGTGGGTGGGGAGATTTGATCAGGTCACAGGGAGGCCTTCGGCATCGGTAGACAGCAGCTGCAGTTGTGGAGCCGTCCTGCCTTGCCAGTGGTGCTGCCTGTTTTCTAGGCCTGATTTTTACTAGTGATGTACCTTTGTAACATACTGGGCTACATTGTGAAGTTTGGTTAAAAATGATTTCCTTCCACTTGGTGAGGTAAATTTTTACAGTTTTCCTAATGGTTCTGTGGATTTTGGTTAATTGTTACGTCTGACATTTATGAACTGTCTTAAATTACCTTTGTAGTAGTCAGTGAATTTATTTTTGATAGGTTGATTTTTTTATATACAGGCTGCCATTCATCTTGGGATGGATGAGTGAAAGTAGAGACAAATTGTTCTTATTGATTTTTAAGGTAGAAATTAAACATGATTATGCATAAAATGTGGATACACTGTAATGAACTTTAGCTGCCAAGAAAATAATTTTCCTTTTTTTTAATTTATATAAAAAATAGACGATTTTATTTCTTCAACCATGCCTAGAAACAAAAAGCCCAAAACTGTGCCAAAGGAGTTAAAGCAGAACAAACCAAAACCTA